AGTGGTTCAAACTTTACCCGACATCAGAGAATTCACACTGGTGAGAAACCTTATGAATGTAAAGAATGTGGAAAGGCCTTTAGTAGTGGTTCAAATTTTACTCAACATCAAAGAATTCATACTGGAGAGAAGCCCTATGAATGTAAGGAATGTGGTAATGCATTTAGTCAGAGTTCACAACTTATTAAACATCAAAGAATCCATACAGGTGAGAAACCCTACGAATGTAAAGAATGTGAAAAGGCTTTTCGTTCTGGTTCTGACCTTACTAGACATCAGAGAATTCATACTGGTGAAAAACCCTATGAATGTAAGATATGTGGGAAAGCTTATTCTCAGAGTTCACAACTTATTAGTCACCATAGGATTCATGCTGGTGAGAAACCTTATGAATACAGAGAATGTGGAAAGAACTTTAGTTATGACTCACAACTTATTCAACATCAAAATTTGTACTGGTGATAAACGAATATATGCAAAATAGTGGGAAGGCTTTTAACTACTGCTGAAACCATTATCAGAGAATTTATCTTAACCTTCTAGATACAAGGCTATAGAAACATTTTATTTGTTGGCTACAGTTTATTCAGGTGAAAAATTGTATTGGTGAAACACTATGAATTAAATATGTTTTGGAAACCTTTTAATGAAAGGTTATATTTATCTTATCCTTTCTGGCTTTTTTTTTTTTTTTTTTCAGTACATGGGATTGAATCAATTGCCTTCACATTGAGCTATATCCCCAGCCTTTTCCTTATTTTTTATTTTGAGATAGAGGCTCACTAAGTTGCTCAGCCAAAATTGTGATCATTCTGCCTCAGCTTCCAAAATGCTGCGATGACAGGCATATGCTAACAAATTTGGCTCTTTCTGGCCTTAAATATCAGAGAATCTATGCAGAAATGTAATTTTATAATTTTCATTCTTTTTCTCTCTCATTTTTTCTATAATAATTATATTATTATTTTAAATGATCTTAAATTTGTATGACTATAAAATTTACCTCTTCACACTTTGTAAAATACTTTTAAATTACCTTTAATAATAGAAAAGTGACCTTTTTGTTTGGTTTTTTAGTGCTTAGGATTGAACCCAGGGCCTTTGCACAAAGCCATATCCACATCCCTTTATTTTTTAAAACTAAGTCTTGCTAGGTCACTAGCAGGCTGGTCTCAAACTTGGTATCCTCCTGCCTCTGCTTACCGGAATGCTTGGATTACAGGCATGTACCACCATTTCCAGCTTGTGTGTGTTTGTGTATATGTATTTTAGAGCCAGGTCCCACTATATAATTCAGGTTGGCCTCAGACTTGGTATGTAGTCTCTGGGCTGGGCTCAAATTAGTGATCCTCTTGTCTCAGTATCCTCAGTCCTGTGATTATAGATGTGTGCCACCATATCTGGCTCCCCTTTTTATGTCTGAAGATGGCTGTTTGTTTTGTTCTTTACAAAATTAAGGCTTTCTTTTGTTGAAACCTTTATAAACTACTTTCTACTCAGTAAATAGGATGCTTTAATATCTTCATGAAGTTTCATTGTGATACTATAGTATCATTTTGTTTTATTTTTGAGACAAGGTCTCACTGTAGTCCAGGTTGTCCTTGAATTTGCTGTGTAGTTCAGGCTGGCTTGGAATATATGATCTTCCTGCCTTGGCTTCCCTAGAACTGAGATTTCAGGTGTGTACCCCACATGAAGCTAATACTATTTTATTAAGTCCCTATTGACAGATATTGTAGTTTCTTCCAGATATTTTGCCATGATACATGCCAAAATGCATGTCTCTGATGGACATTCTTTCTAGGCATATCTTTGTACAATGTCTTATTTGATTACAGAAATAAGGCATGAATATTCACTCTAAAAGATTTAAACTTTACAAATGAGATAAACATACTCTTTGTCTTTCATCTTGTACCCACTTTCTTTCCCAAAGAATAGTCATTGTCAGCTTATTACCATTCCTGGTGATTTTTCTGTTTGAGAGATAGAGTCTTGCTGTGTTCCCCAGATTAGTCTTCAACTTGTGGGATCAAGTGATCCTCCTGCTTGGGCCTGCCAAGTAACGGGTACAATATGTACCATCATGCCCAGCCTATGTTTTTATAGATATATTTTGCAGTAGAAATTATGCAATGGGGATGATTATAATACCTACCTCATTTTTTAAGAGAAGTAAATAAGACGTATAAGGTGCTTAGAGTTGTGCCTGCCATATAATAAATACATACCACTGTGTGTTAGTCATAGTTTTTGCATTTATTGTTGCCTTCAGTATTATATTTGTTAGGCGATTTTAACTTTCTGCAGAGCCAATTCATCATCAGACAGGGTATTTTTGTTTTGTTTTTGTTTCTTGAGGCAGGGTCTCACTATATGGTACAGGCAGGCCTTCAACATGCTTGTGTAGCCTAGGCTGGCCTCTAACTCTTGGTGATTCTCCTGTCTCAGCCTCCCAAGTGCTGGGATTACAGGCGTGCACTGCCACGGCCAGTTAGGTAGGATATTTTTAAATAAAAAAGACCCTTGGAGGGTAATGAATTTAGAAAATCTTCCATCACTTATTTCTTACTCTCATCCTGGTGTTGATAGGGAAAGTGATGTCAGTAATGGATGGGAAGGACTTCATTCAGTCTTCCTTTTTTGTTACATTATATTATACTTTGTGTGAAAAGAAATGCATATAGACAATACATTGGTGTTGCTTATTAAGCAAAAGTAAACAAACAGCATTATGTTTAAAAATTGACATCTATAGAGAAACTTTATAGTTACAAATTTAAAAGGCTATTCTGATTACTGTGCATTCTGATACATTTGGAAACCTAGCCAAAATTATTCTTAGGCAAATATAAATCACTAATATTGACTCAGAGAATTAGAACACTTAGAAGACTCGTAAACATACAGAAAAATTATGAGATCAGTCAGCTGTTACAAATAATGCAACAAATCCCACTTTTAAAGAAAAAATGTATTAAAGTAAAAAATGGATTAGGAGTTACCCCCGCCCAGAAAAGCTATTTTTGAGTGTCAGTTATGAAGATAACGCACATGCCCGAAGGAAATCAGCTAACTGTATCTATTAAAAGAGTGATAAAAATGTATCTAGTTGGGATAGTACCTACCTAAACAGCATGCCCAGGGCCCAGTTCTAGTTAACTGTGATGCTGTGAGAAAATACATGCCTGGTTTTACATGCTGTTGTGACTCTGAAAATCCAGAAATCTCTCTCTTTCCTCTGATACTAGGGATTGAATTTAGGGCCTTTGCACTGAGCTACATTCCCGGCCCATTTCAAATTTTCAGACAGGGTCTCACTAAGTTGCTAAGTTGATCAGGCAGGGCTCAAGTTTGCAGTCCTCCTGCCTCAGCCTCTCAGATTGCAGGGATTGCAGGTATGTGCCACCACATTCACTTTTTAAAGAACTGTACTTTTTGATGTATTTGATAACTTCTGATTTTTAATTGGCTATTCACAGTTTCAAAAAACATTGCAGGGCAAAGAAGAGATGTCATTTCTGCAAGTCACAAATGGCTAACCTTGGGTTAGTTTTTGTTCTGGACACTAGCAAAGAGCACACCCATGTCTCACAGGAGGATTTTTTTCTTTTGTTCTGGGATGAACTTTTAAGAGAGCAAATTCCTTGCTTCTAAGATTTGGGTGTTGGGGGAGGAATAATTTCCCTATAATTTCTTGGATGTGCACACTTTCAGTTTAAAAAATTTCCAGAGATAAAATAGCTGAATTCCAAAAATGCAGGATAGTAGAAAGGACTTGGTCTGGTTCAAATATTTTTTCTTACATGCATTTTCATTTTGTTTTTGATTTTTTGAGATACAGTCTTACTATGTAGTTCAGGCTGGCCTTGAACTCACTGTGTAATCCAGGCTGGCCCTGAACTTGTGCCATTCCTCCTGCTTCACCCTCCTAAATGCTAGGACTACAGGTGTGCACCACCATGCCTGGCCAACATGCATTATTTTTTATTCTAAGCATCACATCAATTAAAAAAGTAGGACAGTTTCAGGGCTGGGGATATAGCTCAGTGGCACAAGCACCTGCCTGGCAAGCACAAGGTCCTAAGTTTGATTGCCAGTACCAAAAAAACCCACAAAAAACCCACAAAAGTAGGACAGTTTCTTGAACATATACACATATATAACTAAAAATGAAAAATTTTAGAGTTAACCTATCAAAAAAAGCCATCCCACCCTAATTTTGCAGTAGAAACAGATACATCACTGGAATTATAAATTATGTTCCAGATCAAGGGTCAACAAAGTTTGTCCATAAAGGGGCAGACAGTAAATATTTTAGCCTTTTCCAGCCGTACTATTTTTGTAGCAACAGCTCAGCTCTGCTATTATAGTACAGGCGTTTAGTAATGGTCTCTTAAATCTTGACTTTAAAACACAAAACACCACAGATTTCCTTTTTGAGGTTTAAATTAATGTTTTGAGAGGGACTTTTATTGTACCTCAATTTTCATGCTCAGGAAGTAACACCTACACTGCATAGATACCATTCTGTAGAAGGATAATCCATGTATCCAGTTATAGAGGTTCGTTTTTCATGTTCTACCATCACTCCCTTTTTTCTCAAAACCTATGTAAGAGTATTTTTGTTTGTTTGTTTGTTTTTTGTTGTTGTTTTGAGACAGCATTTCACTATATAGTTCATACTGGCCTTGAATGAATTACATAGCCCAGGCTGACCTTGAACTTGGGATAATCCTCTTGCCTCAGCCACCTGAGTGGTAGGAGTACTGGCATGTGCCAACCATGCCAGCAAGGCCTTTTTTCTGAACACTGAATTACTTGTTTTTTTACAAGTAAAAAGAGGTAAATATTTTATAATAAATTTGAAAAAAGTAGAGTAAGCAAAATACCTGCAAATGGCAGTACTATAGAGATAATTCTGTTTTAATGTTCCACATTAATATCAACAGCAAAACTCCCCAAAACGAGAACAAACTGCCAAATGAAGATTTATTTTGTGTGCATATGTTGTCTTTTATTTATATAGTGCATGTGTATACAAACCAATGAAACATTTTAAATTTAAAAAATCTTTGCCCCCTCCGTTCCTCAATTTCTGTCTTCATGTGTTTCCTTCAGAATAATGTTTAAAGCTTACAAATCCCATCTATTTCTTCATTCAAACATTTACGTGCAAGTAAGTATAGTTGTATCACATAAATATTGCATCAAACTGAAATTTGCTTTTTTGCATTCAATTGCAGATTTTTTATTTCCCTTCAGATCTAGAGCTATAACTGAGTGTTCATGATTATAGTATGTTTATGCCCAAGACCTATTAAACATTTCGCTAATTGTGAGCATTTCAAATTATCTCCTGTTTTCCGTTTAAAACTATTCACTGGATGTGAGGGTGCCCACCGTATAATCCCAGCTACTCAAAAGGCGGAGGCAGAAAGATCAAAAGTTT